AAGTTTCAATAATCATTTGTTAAACTTTGAGTCGTAATTGAAGCAAAACGAGACGTAACTGCCGAACTTCACCTGGCCTGAAGCAAAAACCTCGCGCTACGCCTGGCAAAAGCACGTTAGTGAGGACGTATTTATATCGATAAGGGGTTTGACTAGGAGCAGGGTGAAATTTTTCACGGCATCATATTTGTAATGCCTATACGCTTTGTCCGTTTGGCCACTACGACATATCTTTGTTGCTGTGCATATGTTTCAATTGATGCCTTTGCTTCGTCCAACAGTCGTGCACAATTTGGCGGTGTTCCAAGACTTATTATAGAACAGTTGAACCTGTCTAAATTTGTATTGTTCGGACCTCCTTTTCTAACATTTTTTAGAGTATTATAAATCAAGAACGTGTTGTAGCGCTCCTCCAAAAAAAATTATCAGAAATTTAAAAAAGTTTAAGATGAAGAAAGGCCCACTTTTAGGAAAGTGTTTTGTAGCTCAGCCGGTTTGGTATGGCAGTGTCAACTCAAAGGTCACTTGCTCATTCCCGGTGAGGAATTAAACAAGAAAGTTTAACCTTTGGACCTGGTGTTTAGATTTCACCAGCACTGTCCTGCCAGGCAGTGACGTCCCCCACTTAAGGCATGGTTTAGGTATTGTGAAACTCACGACAAGAATTACATACGTAATACTAGACGAATAAGCGACGCGCAACTCGAAGAATAATGATGCGCGATGTGGCGATTACTAACTTATAGGCTAAAAGAATCCAGTAGGTTTATAGTAACAACAGGAGTATGTGAGCTAAGGACCTTACTATTTACTTTGCATTAAGTATTTTAGTGCTCAGCGTAAGTCTTTAGGCCTTCCTACCAATTCCCCAGAACAAATCAGCAGTACATTAACAATGCCTTTGAAAGGAGCACGCTGCAACACAGTGACGGAAGATGTCCGTGTGGCTCACTGCAAACCTCATGCCGAGAATGGGCACCGACTTAGGCTTAGCTTGTCAAATGGCTACAGGAAACCATCAGCTAAGGGTCGGCCAGACAACAGACTCCAACAAGATGAAAAGGAAGGCGATCTTCTTCGGCTTACAGAAAAAGCAACATGAGTTCTGAGCATCAGCGTTCAGTCAATTATCGAACGGTTGAATACGCTCTGATAGCTTAGCTCACTGCCCACCAGGATCGCATCAATTCCAGCGGAGACCTTGTATATGAACATGCCGAGCGGATATCATGCCGTCTTTATCCAGGACATGCAATTTCAGTTCTAAATTGGACCGCTGGAATCTTTTAAAGCTTACAACGGAATGCGCTCATATCACTGCTTTGGAGAGAGCGGATCGGTGGACATGGTTGCTGTTGGAGAATGAACTTCCTTCCCTACGTGAAATCCTTAACTAGGACGAATGGAAGGATATCTACAACATGGATGAGACCGGCTCGTTCTATCGGATAAAGATAAGAGCTCTGCAAAGGACAACAAATCTCAATTTTGAAATTGACTAATGCACCCCTTTCGTTATTGGCTGACAACCCATTAACAACGCGGCAGCTGGACGGAAGGAAGCAAAACAAGGAACGAATTACTGTGGCTGTCTGCTGCAACGGTGAAGGGTCCGCCAAAATCCCCTGTGGAAAATTGGCAAGTACGCCACTCCTCGCTGCCTCCGGCATGCTAATCTTCAGAACCTTAGCTATCGGTATCGCAGCAGAAACAATTTCAAAATTAAAATATTTTAAAAACTTCTAAAAAATTAAAAAAAAATATTTACAAGACGGCCTGGATGACACAAACCATCATCTTGAAATGGCTGAGGGACTTCGATCGAATAATAGGAAAACCGCAAGGTGTTGCTGGCACTAGACAACTGCAGCGCACACGTCCCAATCGCTGATCTGCTACAGCGGATTAAACTTCGAAACACGACAATCCACTACCTTCAGCCCAACATGGCATTAAAGCTCCAGACTTGTGACAAGTAAATTTTACGTGTCCTCAAAGCATACTTCTGGTGCAGCTTCAACTGTATGCTCCTTTAAAATCACGACAATGGTGTAGTTCAGCCGGCAAAGATCAACACTATTCATGCTAACCAGATGTCAGTCTCAGCATGGGCTAACGATGTCGCACTGAGACTATCCACAGCTGTTTCCGGCACTGCAATATCTAGTCCAAACCAGCTGATGCTCCACCAGTCCTCGAGGGACAGTGCCTTGACAATAAAGGTATGATAAAAATGGAACATCAGATTGAATGCATCAAGTCATTTAAAGCCACTGGACATCTGCAAACTGCTCGATCATCCTATTGAGCGGATTGCATCGTTCATTCCGGACGTGGATGACATCATTGAAGACCACCTTCCGACTTAGCCTGAGGATGAGCAGGATGACAGCCAGGAAAAGCCTTAAATCGCTATCGTGGATGCTCTGGAGGCAAATAAGTTGCTTGAGACATTCTGGCTGCTACAGGATGGTGACGTGCAGACTTTGATCAAGTCACTACAGCGAATGAAGGACGAAGTCGGGGCGATCAACACAAATCAAATGGTTCAGCCTGGCATACGAGACTTCTTTAGACGTGTTTAGGTAGTACGTCACATTATTTTACAGTACCGACACATTTTCTAATAAAAATTTTACGAAAAATAAATTTTAAAAATGGGACTATGAATTGCAATTCATGTTTAAATTACAGAGGCCTTTAAAAATAGTTGTATAGACCCGATTTAAAGACGGACCTTATTATCTGGGAAATGTAACCACCCCCCAGGTTTTCGCTAACCCCCCGACCCCCTATATATTACCGTAATTTATTTGATGGACGCGCTCCGATTGGTAGAGTTGAATATACATGCGGTTTAAGCAATAGTTTACTATTTCATTAACATATAATAATGAACTAAATCTAAATAATTGATGCATGTCTATAAGTCGGCGACGTGTGATAATTTACACGTCAGATACTGCGATTATCCTGGATGAACACTGTAACAAAGGCATTCATTAATGCTACATTCGAAATTGACTTTAAGCCAGCTGCAGAGGTCTATTGCGAGGTATGTGTGTAGTCGTAATACGTGCATAAATTGTCTAACTAGACTAACGCGTAATTTGATGATGGTAGTGGCTTAACCTCCTCCCATCAGCATGCACATCGCGGCTGCTCTCTATTCCACGCATTGTCGACTGACTCTTCATCCAACAGCGCGTCCTGCTCCAGATCAAAAAGATTCAAGTCGAAAGACGAAAAGGGCGAGATGCCAGATAATTACCGGGCTCGTTTGGTGAGGGTGAAGCCTATCGATCAAGGTACTGCTGTTGCGGCAGCTTCCGAGATGCTCTTGCATGTTCATTAAGTGCCTTTCGGGCTACCTCTAGCGTATCGTATGTAGTTTCAAAGATTGGTAGCAGAGCCATATGAGAATGACAGACTACGGTGTTTAAGCGCTGAAAGAAATTATTTAACAATTGAAAAAAATAGCGTGTAAGCGATTACATGATGCAATTATTGTGTTGGAATTGGCTTTTAGTATTTAGCAATGTGACATTTTATATATAATCAATCAAAAAAATGGAAGGTATATGTCACGGTAATATATAGGGGGTGGGGGTGGTTAACGAAAACCTGGGGGGTGGTTAACGTTTCCCTTTTATCTTTTTAGAACTATTATTAAATTAGACAGGCTCTACGGTAGTCAGCAATCAACAAGCAAACCTGGCATTAATGTTAGATGACAGCGCACAAATAGCGGACATATTAGGTTGCACTGCCGGAACTACCGTCGCCGTCGTGCATGTAGTCGAGAAAGTCGGCAAGTTGCTCTCAATGAACGTCAGTTCTTCGAGATGTTCTAGGTTGAGTAAGTCTCTAAACTCTGTAAAAATGTCGCCACAATGACGAACTCGGTCCACTAAAATCCAATCACACACGAGGCGTGTGTCATCGAATGATTCGAGGGGCTCGTAGTCTACATGGAAACTTAAACAGGACATTCTCCGGCTGCAATATGTTGCCCACCGGCAGTCTAACTCCGATAAAATACGAGAGCTGAGGTGTACCTTGGCGCATTCGCTCTTCTTATGGTGATCAATTAGAGTATTTTAGTGCACACAATCGGCACTGTCGGCATTTAGTAGAGACGCATCATCTGTAATTAGTTCCAGACTGCACTAGCAGAGCAACCGCGTCTCCGTTCTGGCGCCCGGACTACCATTTAAGCAACGTCATCGATAATCATTCTGAAGTTCAACATGGCGACTTGCGTATCTCGCTGCTGAAGGTCGAGAACGTCGTCGTTGAAGTGTTCGACAAACTCTTCAAGCTTGAAGAAGACGACGACGATTGCGATATAGCAGTAAGTACGCCTAGAGGGTGCTACTTTGCTAGTGTTTACTGAAGAAAGATAATGTCTGTTGGCTTCATTGTAGTTGCAGGAACGGCGGCCAGCCGAATAGTGCGTGAGTTACACGATTATTGTGGAATAAAACCTAATAAAATTTGTTTGTAAGATCATAGGCAGTCGAAATTCAATACAAATCGAATATTACCCGGCCGTAAAAACCAGTTGTGCCAGCTTAGGACGAAATAAAAGGGTTGGCATACGCCCTGCGCACAGTCACTAACAGCTTCGACTTTCGGGCCCGCAATGTTATCCACTACGCCTTACAAGGTCTTTTTCTCTCGAAATGTGCCTTACGCTATTGGTAGGTCGGTCTCTGTTTTGCTGCGTGAGTCATCCATACTTTCGTTATGACGTTTGTCACCCTTCGATTCAGAGCAATTCAATCAGCGGCATGGCACAATTGGCGCCAACAAGGTCTTAGTTGAGTCTTTTATCTCTGGAGATAACTGTATCTCGCGCCGAGAGCTCCTCGAGCGAGTAAAAGGGTGTACGGGAATTTTTTGTCTTATTACGGACAAAGTTGATGCTGAAGTTCTAGACGCTGCTGGACCTTCACTTCGTGTGGTGTCCACAATGTCTGTTGGCTACAACCACATCGATGTGGATGCTTGTCGATCGGTCGCGGGACGTTCAGGTCGGATACACGCCCGGTGTTTTGGACGTTTCGACTGCTGAGACAGCTGTTGCGTTGACGTTTGCGACCAAGCGACGCCTTATCGAGTGTGCCACAAGCGCAAAAGCTGGGGAGTGGGGTGTCTGGCAGCCGTTTAAGTATTGTGGATCGGATGTTACTGGCAGCACGGTTGGTGTGATTGGTCTCGGGCGAATTGGTACGACATATGCGCGCATGATGAAGAACGGTTTCAATTGCCGGATTCTGTACACTGGACCGCGTGAGAAGCCTGACAATGTCAAGCCATTGGGGGGCGATCCCAATTCGGTCAAATTTGTAGACATGCCAATGCTGCTGCGTGAAAGCGACATTGTAAGTCTCCACCAGCCACTAACGGACGCAACTCGAAGCAGTATCGGTGCCAGAGAACTGGAATCAATGAGATCTGATACAGTGTTGATCAATACTGGCAGGGGTGAGCTTGTGGATCAGAATGCGCTTGTGCGAGCGCTTACAGCTAAGTCGATTGCAGCTGCTGGCTTGGATGTAACGACGCCAGAACCGCTCTCACCCAGTCACCCTCTCTTCTCGCTCAAAAATTGCGTTGTAATGCCACACATCGGCTCAGCCACGATTAAAACAAGGCGGGTCATGGCAGATATCGCTGTTGCGAATCCCATTGCCGGTATCCGAGGGGAAAAGTTGCCGCACGGGGTGTGCTAACTTTTGAGTTAAAGCAAACTTACGGCTTTGCAAGAAAGTCTTCTGTTTTGCAAAAGTAAGATCAAACGCTGATGGCCAAGAAAGCCACCTCCGGACCCTTTGCAATATGGCAGCTATAATCTAGTTGTGTGGAGCGCTCATAAGCGACTCTCGGTCTGCAATCCGCGTGGTGAATGTTCGAACAATACGTTAAGCAAACTGTTATCCTATAGCACTCAATTGTGGCTCCTGGGCATCGTTTCGTCGTCGTTAAGACGGTAATGAAGACGCACTTACACATTTCCCAGACATAAGCGCAAAGACCCCACACGCTTCTGGAATCTTGAATTGCGATGAGGTTTCGACAAAACTCTCTTTTAAAGCGTAGTTGATGTCTCCGTACGTGCAATTGGCGACAGAGACGAATCGGTAAAGTCTTGCTCATGTAGAGTGCACGTGGTGTTTGTCTTCTCATTTTAATGAGCTGCAGAAGTACACAGGCGTTTCACCTATGGTCGGAGTCTAAGAGTTTACGTTGAATCTAGATGGCGACGTTGGCGTCCAGCAAGTACACCATACACGAAATCGACAAATAAATGCAAAGGGTCCTTAGCGATGCACGGAATTTCGACATGACAGGAGCTCTTGAAGCAATGCCATAGACAGGAGGAACACCTGCACGCTACACAGACATGAATGTGTCAGGCGTAGCCATGGTTCTGGTGTCATGCGTAACGCATGAAAATTATTTGACTAAGCTGACGTTCATTACGGACTAAAGTTTTTGAAGAGTACGTCTATTGATATGAAAGTGCAATAATCGTGAATAGATTCAATGACGGTGTGCTACACCCAAACAGCTAGCATGTGCATTGGATACACTTTACTATCTTTTCAACAGAATTATCTTGGGTATAAATACATGTACGCAAGTCTACTTGAAGATGGCCGATTGATCAGTGTTAAAAAGCTCAAGTTTTTATTCTACACATAGGCTTCAGAGTTGGATTATCTTGTCAACATCATTTCAATCGCGAGCGGGACATCTATCATACAACAGGTGAAGATACATCTTTACGTAACTACGGATTAGCACGCACAAGTTTCCAATACATATTGAGCATCGAGCAACAACCTAGGGATAAACTCTATCGACCAAAATAATATATAGCTGTACTGGAGGATCAGATAGGAGCGAAAGACTTTGATGGAATGTTCTCAACAGCAGTCGTAGACATTCAGTTGAACTATGCAATTGTAACTCTTCATCTCCTCCCACTGCATAAGAAAGCAAGATAGGCAAGACAGTTTTTATACTTTACTCAGCAGTACTCACACCGTCTGATCAACAGGGGCAGCACTATCGCCAATGCCGTAGAACGTGAGGGTTTGTGCGTGAACGCACTGAGTATGATCTGAATGGCCACGCATCATACAGCAGTGTAGGACGTCCCTCAAAATGTCGAATGGCCTAGGTTGGAGCAGTTAGCGATGCAAATTGAGTGGACAGGGTGCAGCAAAAATGAGTGGATGCGAGCTACGCCAGATAAGTACGTGTCCGCCAACGGGTTACATTGGGTACTGGTACACAATATAACCGCTGCCACGAGCTCACTTGATCCAGGTCCCAATTTGTCCTTTCTGCAGTATGATTGGGATCTAATTTAGGTAATTAATAACTCTAAGTCGTTATTTTAGAAGAATTTTAAATACTAATTGTGAAAGGAAATTTCCAAAATACGGGAGATAATAAAGAGCAAAAATTACGAGAATTATAGGAAACACACCCTCCCGATGTGTAGATCTTGTCAGAATGTTGAATGAATCATTCGTCACAAACGACTTCGTCAAATACGTAAGAAGCCACTATTTTTGCTCATGGCCTCATTAACCCGCATGTGATACTGAAGTCCGTCAGTCTTGATATTCGATGCCTTCAACTCTGACTCTTTTACGTCCGGTGTATCGCTCGGTACATTTTAAAGTATATAAATACTCGGTTTTTGTCAACATTAGACCGGTCGTTCATACTCCTCTATCCAACGTGAGCAACACCCAAATAAGTTTTACAAATGTACTTTGAGCAAACCGTCAGCATTTCGATAATCAACCTGTCTGCTTACTGCAGCACCCGAAGAAGTGGAGAGCCTATAAAGTTGCCAAGTTACACCTTGGTAAAACACCGATTTCCAAGGCATGTAATAGTAGTTTTGGACAGAATCGAGATCATAGTGCATGTTTATTCTGACACGATAAAAATAGTAGTTTCTTCGGTATTTGATAAAATCATTCGTGGCAGTGATCCACTTTTAACAGTTTAACAGGGTGTGTCCATGGTAACGACGGATGTTTGCCTAACAGAATCTCCTATTTTTAATTTCCAATCGACGTAAGTAGTATTTCTCCTACTTTATGATAGTCCAACATGGTAATTTGAAATTAGGGGAAAATCCATTCAGTTTAGTTACCATTCGTACGATCGTGTACGAACTAACCACCGACATTTTGACACATTGCTAACTCTGAGAATTTGACCGAAAACGTTGTCAGCTAAGTGCTCGAGGTCGAGCGGATTTCCTGTTGCGAGCAAGTGTAATGATTACAGGAAAAACATGATGATAAAGGCGATGAACAGGACTTGACTATCAGACAAAACCCACGAGAAATCGGTCATTTGAGTTTTGTTGACGTAGTGACGCCTATCGATCATGATGTATGGGTTCGACCGCCACGACCAGTGTTGCGTAGACCTACAGTGCTTAATCTAAGTTATATAAAGACACGTCACCTTAGTTTCGAGATATTTAGAAGTGGAACGGATTAGCGTCTCGTTCCACGCTTCCGTTCAAGCCACTGCCCTCGCAAATTATCTGACCAGGACTGCACTCCAGCGCGTTTACTAATACCAGAAATTCTTTGTCCCTTTGAGTAGAAAATGGAAATGCAAGAATAAGGGGCGTGAAGTCCCATAATCTGGCTTCTAGGATGCCTAGTGCTTTTGGGGCACTTGCTGCTGCAGCGTATACCGTTCTGAAATCGCCTTGTCAAGGGTGCAACAATACCGTAGCTTCGGATGATGCAGCGTGGTGTCTGCCACGTCAAATAGAAAAAAGGCGAATCTGACTGGCCTGCGGTGGCGGCACATTTATGATTGTCATGGATAAATCGTACATTAACGAGGATAAAGCTACAAGGGGTACCCGCTCCAATATTTGGTTTGACACTCAGTCTTTTAAAATTTTAGCACCAGTCATTTCGACCAAGATGAAGGACATGCTGAGTGTCAAGGACTGTGTCCTGGTAGCCATGACTTTGATGCTCGTACCGATTCTTCTGATAGAGCTTTTCGGCGTCGCAATGGTTCGCAAAAATATGGAGGCGTTCCAAAACGATGCCCCAGGCATGCCACGCTTTACCGAACTGTTGATTGGCGGTGCAGTCTCGTTGTTGCTGATTGGCGTGCGGTTGACCGCTGTAAAGGCACTTCTTCCTCTGGGGAGGGCTGTACTTTCTCCACAAAAGAGAGTAGTCGAAGACCGCGTCCTCCGCTTTGCTACCGTGTTGTTCAAATTTATGTAAGTGCCTTCGATGCTCATATATACACGTGCTGGATGAAGCGTGCGAGCTCACTACGCGTTTTCTTTTGTACGATATCAAAAGCTACTTTGTATGCATCACCCTTGTTGGTTTTAAAGTCATGCATGACGAACCATGGTTCCCGGCAGCACTAGGAGGCAAGGGCGAGATTCTAAAGTCGGTCGACACATTCTCGCAACCTCCTTCCAGCGCGCTCAAATACTACTTTCTGGTGCAGCTCGGGTACCACCTCCACAGCTTGTTGTTCACGGTGTTCCTCTCCCCAATTCGCAGCGATTTTATCGAGATGCTGCTGCATCACGTAGCTACTATCATTCTAATCGCTGGATCGTTCCTGACCAACTACATGGCCTATGGCGCGGTTGTAGTGTTCACACATGACGTCGGTGACGTCACTGGATGTACGTTTATTGTGGACGACGACAAATCGTGCAAGCAACGGTGACTAATTCGTTCGACGTTTTTGCTGTGCTGATTTTGCTTAACAGACGGCATAAAGTCAGTCGTGGACACTGGCAATACACCGCTTCTACTGTTCATGTACGCGATGCTTCTCATATCCTGGGCGTACACGCGCCTTTTCGTGCTGCCGTACCACCTCATCTACCCCGCGACACTTTTTCTGCGGCAGAATGACTCGGACCATGTCATCATCTATGCGCTTCCGATGATTGTCACGTTATGCTTCCTCGTGGTGCTGCACATTTACTGGTACTCCCTGTTTCTAGTTATGGGCTACACGCTATTGAAGAAAGGCGTGGCCGAGGATATCCAGCAGAAAGTCGGTGGTCCAAGTGATGTGACTAAAGGTGAAGGAGCTCGCGCGAACAGTCCATGCAAAAAATCTAAGAACGACTAGGAGGGTCTTCGGGCAGATGTACTGAGCTTGTCTTTAACATCGATGATACGGCATGAACCTAGAACTATTCGTGTACCTTGACATGAGCAACTTTTACCATCCGTAGTATCGTGCAGACAATGGTACTCCACTCTCTACGATGACTAGTAGTGTGATCTCATTTTCTGCTTTTCTGGAATACTCTGTTCATGTTCTAATGTTCTCACGCGTTCGCAACGCTACAGATGAATGTCCAATACAATGTCATCCTTTACGAGGTGATCACGTGGTGCTTTAATGTTCTGTTTTGAGATCCTTTCGCGCAGCGATCGATATTTCATCGCCCTTATTCCGACGTGTATCCCTCTGCGCTCTAGTTCACAGCGAATACAGTTCCTCACGACAATCATCAACGTCCATCCACATAGCAAATTACGAGTGAGTAGGTACGATCATTAAGAGGCTTGGGCTCGAATGCAACGCTATCATTCTCATCCGCAGGTTTATCTTTTACGGAGTCAAGACTTGAATCAACCTCTGTATAATTCCAGAGCTGTACGCACCTACAAAACTTTTGCAGATGTCATTTGAGTTAATGCGTACGCTTCGTCTCAAACTAAAAATAAACGGTATGCTATAGCGCTGGCCACGTAACGTGATCATTCTCTCGGTATGTGTTAGAATTATAAATTCGTTACCCAAAATCCATGATAACATCATTGGAGCGTTTGCTCGCATTTCTTCCATATTGTTGTGTGGTGCGCTCACTCGTTCTTTACTCTTGGTGTACGAGCTTTTCGTCGAGAACATGTACATCAGAATTCGAAGATCATGATTGTTGATAGGAAGTGCACACAAGCTTTCGGAAATTGTGTTTATAGATTTCATGATACGACAAAGTGCATACCTCTTGTGCATACGAACTGCAACAGCAAAGCCTCGCCTCTAACAACACGAGCGTAGGTTGGATCCTACACCCTATTTCGTTGAGAGAGCTAACCACAATCGCACCTGATAACACTTTTCTAAGAAATCATGCATCGAAGAACGCGTTTTAGCACATTTAAGAAAGCTCTCAGGATGGTTTGATGTGTGCCGCACTTCGTTAGGCGTGACGCACTTGTGCAAAGTGATCGTGCTTAGGTAGTCTATAGTCTGGAAGGGATATATGGAGAACGGTAGAGTTCATTTTAACATCAATTGTTCCTGCTCCTATATAATCAGGTGGCGGGCCAAACATTAGGTGCTAAGCTAGCTAACAATGTTATATGATTTGGAGTCGACGAGAGGACATTTGTCACGACATCATATCTCGCAACACCAATGTGAAATGTGAACAATGCCTTACGTAATAAAAAAAGGAAAAATAAATAGTGCCCCATTTAACCACGAAAAAATAACGTGGCCTAGATAATTAGAAATTAAAATACTTCCCTAATAATTTTTGGAGAATAAAAACTCCCAAATCCATTTATTTTCAAGTTGCAGTGGTACACACAAACCGTCATGGTGCTTCTATGAAGGACTAATCCGATTATTATCACCAAATCACACGCAATATGCTGATACGTATGATTTGCTTTACCTCTTGAGCTCTCCACGTCCAGCGCGCTGTTCAAGGAGTTTAAAACTAAGAACAGCACTAACGAATTCTCGCGACAGCACTAAAATGTTGCCATCAGCACTAATAAAGCCTTCAAAATGGTAATGAGAGCCAAACAGATAGAAAGGATCCATCATTAGTCAATTTTGGATTCATCAGTCTATTTCATGGTTAAATTTGCTAAAACGACTACAGCGTACGAGCAGGAAGCAAATTCCTGTCCCGCAACTATGGCAGTAGACCTGTAGTTCCAACAACAAAACCACAAAACAGAAGAAATACCAAGAACACTAACAGCAGTAGCAAGAGCAGCGGTAGCAAAAGGAGCAGCAGCAGCAGCAAAAACAACAGCTACACTAGCATCAACTACAGTCACAGCAGCAACGACAACAATTACAACAAAGGCATTAGCAGCAGCAGCAGCACCAGCACCACCACTACCACCACCAGCAGTATAAAAAGAAATGCAACAGGAACACCATTAGAAGCTTAAAGCAACAACGGCTACAGCGGCAGCGGTAGCAGCAACAACGACACGAACAACTGAAACAAAAGTAACAAAAGTAACAAATTATCACATTAGAGACAATAATAACAAAAACAAAACAATATCAGAATTACTGCCATCAATAATATCAGCACCGGCTGTCTGCGTTTACGGCTGCGGCTGACGACACAAAGATGCGTTTACAACTGTCCTGTGCCTTCCGTACCCACAATAGTGGCTGAAAGCGCAGCAAGCCCGTGGCGGAACCCCCCTCCGCGGCTCCACCTACAGGGCGGGGGTCGAGTACAGCCGTTACAATGGGAATTCCGAAATGACTTTGACTTGATTTTTAATGTGTACCATTTTAACTTGAGTATGCAAGGACGTGGGTCTTTTATTTTCGTGATTAAATGGGGCTTATTTTTCGGGGTATTCACTACTGTCCAAATAACCGGGACATTATATTTAGGGAGCCGTTGTGCTTACCACACCCTGCGGTTATATGTACCACAGCCCATATTCCGTAGCAAATTGGACCCAAAGTTGTCGCTCATGTAGAGGAGTGATCATGGTCTTTCCAAATTCAATAGTTTTGATCTTTCAATTGTGACTATAACCTTACCTGCGATTTGTATTTAGCATTACGATGGGGGAAGATGAACGAGAGATGAAGAAGACAAACGAGGTCTTCAACGGCTCGAACGATGAAGAAATCATCTCTGCCACAATGAGAAGGTGCACGTATCAAATGCGTATTCGTATTCAGCCTCATACGTTTAGCGTAGTCGCGATACAGACGTAATGGACGAAAGAGCTGTAAAGAAATTGATCCGAGTGACAGTTTGTTTTCTTGTAGTACAGATGTACAATACTATGGATGAGTCTGATCAAGGAATTGTAGATAATCTGAATGGGCTCATGACAGGACAAATGTTCGATGTTTGATAGGAAGCTGATGCCCAAGATGACGTAGTTTAAACGTTTTTACGTCGTAAATACGACTAGATGAACACCGCGACGTACAGATGACGACGCCGAAGCTGTCGAATGGACTTAACTGGTAAAAAGAATGAGTGGTAGTAGCTACATGTGTACACTCACTGAAAGATGTAATGGGGTGAATCGTTACATAACAATTTATAAGAAATTGTTGATAGAATATAAATATAAGAGTTATATTCTCAGAATATTGTCATAAGGACAAATATTCTGTTGCACTTACGAGTAGTTCCTAATTGGTTGATATAGGCCATTATATCAACCAACGAAGACGCGCCACGACAGACGCACGCAATGAGTGGTGAGCAGATAACTGATTTACACATTTGTATTTAGACATAGTTAGATGAAGATAAATAGTGATTTATTGCAGACATTAACTATGATAAATACAGTTCTACTTTTTACTCTAACCAAGTACTCGCTTCTTCTTACCGTCTTCCTCTGCACGTACGAGTGTACGTGAAGTTCCGAGGCACCGCCTTATTCTGTCATCAGAATAAGCAGCTTGTACTGTCACCAGTACAAGCTTCAGGGTGCCCCGTTACACCTGGTAGCACTTTGTAGTCCGTCCAAGGACCACGTTCACATCTAACATGAATATGTTGGATGATGAAGATGACCAAAGCTTTCACGCTACGCGTGACGGCTACTCCCATTTGAGCGATGTCGAATGGGATGCGGTTGAACGAATGGGTTCGACCATGGGCATCCATGCTGTTAGCGTCATGCTAGAGGCTCTCAATAGAGATGCCCAACATGCTACTATCGCCAAGTTCATTCAAAATGAACTTGACGCTGAACGCGAGAAAGTAGCCTTGCTTCACCAACAAGGTTCTCAACAAGCAGAGTTGTTGAGAGAACAAGGTGCTCAACAGTTTGGACTGTTAAGACAGCAGCAGGCTGCTGCTGGTGGGTAGATGCACTCGCGTCGACCCGAGGCCTTGAAGTTTGACATCTCCAAGTATAGGGGAGTCGAAGAGAACTCCCTCTTGAGATGGTTTGTCGAATTGGACGACGCCATAAGGGCGCGTCGCATCGACGACGGGGATGTGCAAGTTGCATTTGCCCAGTCAAATCTGGCAGGACGTGCCAAGACTTGGGCACTGGGGCTCAAGTTGCACGACCCATATGCGTTTGGGTAGCTAGAAGTCTTCAAGTCGCGGCTCAGACAAACGTTTGAACCTCCTAGAGCTGAGTTCAGAGATCGAACCGAACTCTTGAAGCTCAAGCAGGATAAGCGTGATGTGCACGCTTACGCTCAACATATACGACGTCTCACGAGTTGTATAAGTTCCAATCCGGTGGATCAACACACGTTGGTTTCGGTGTTCATGCAGGGTCTTTCGGATGGTCCCGTCAAGACTCACCTGTTCCGGCTTGAACTAGATTCACTAGAACAAGACATTTCCATTGCGGAGCAGGAAGACTTCAGTCTGAGACAGGCTCGCGCCAGCTCGACATCATATCGTCAACCGAGACGATATGACAACGGAGGTCCAGAGCCGATGGAACTCTGTTATGTAGAGAGCGAGAAGGCTCGCTCTACAGGCTACAAGAAGTTGCAGAGATGCAACAGATGTCAAAAGACAGGACACTTCGCTTACGAGTGTAGTGCCCCTCGTCCAGTTTCTCGCGACACTGGGCGTAGTGACCGTCCACCCATGAGAAAGGGGCAGGAACGCGGGTCCGCAGTTGGTGCAAAGACGCAACAACGGGATGGACCGTCAAAAAACGGACAGGATCAGTAGGTGCGGAGCACCCTACTGGTCTAGCAACGTCAAGAGAATTTGTAGGCATCTTGATGAAGGTTGCTCCCAACACACAAACGTTGTGCGTTGCTGCTCTAGGTAATGAGGTCTCACTCATTACCTTGAAACTCGAAGTGACGAATGAGTTGTCCCTTCAAGCTCTAGTCGATTTTGGGGCTTC